GCTGGGGAAGGCGGAGGGGGGGCCGCTCCGGCAGCCCCGCTTTCTCCGCCACCTCTCCCAGGACCGGGACGAGCCTCGCCCCGTACCTCAGTTTCCCAGCGGGGAAGGGGGCTGGGGGAAGCTCTGGCAGCGGGCGAGAAGCAGCCAAAGCTCTCCTGGAGAGCCTCCGCGTTCAGTCCGGCCAGGGCTCGGAGTAAACTTCTCGCCCCGAGCTCGGGCCGCTCGGCCGGGGCTGCAGCCGGAGCAAGATGGTTTCCTGCCTGCTGTCACAGCTCCTGCAGCAGCAGCGCTGGTACAAAGGCTGGTTTGGGGGGGGGGGGGCTCTCAGGCACCCTGTTGGACCAGGAGATGCACAGCCATGCTGGCACTGTTAGCCTTTCCCAGCCGTGCTCAGATCAAGGCTCCAGCCCTTTGGCAGCAGCTGCTGGCTGAGGAGAGGGGGGATGCACCCCGAGGCACAGCAGGCCACCAGTAAACCCTGCAGAGAGATGCTGGTGGGCAGGGGGCCAAGCCCTCTGTGCTAATGTCACATCAACTGAGGGGGGGGGCAACTGTCCCTGCGAGATGGCAGATGACGAACACCCGAGAAACTCAGCTGCCTTTTCACAGCGAGGTGCTTGTGCTAACCACATCCTCTGCCTCCCTCCGTCGCTCTAAGACGTCGACCAAAAGATAAAAAGCTGCATGGAGGCCTTCTCGCCCCCTTCCCTCTTCCAGCTCACACGCCTGGGCTGCAGAAGGCTTGGTCCCTCTGGTAACCACAACCTTATCGGCTCTTTTTTTCAGGTTCTCTGGCATTTCTGTTGTTGCAGAGGGGAAAGACAGACTCACCCCTCTCCCTAGGTGCAAGCAAGGGGAGGAAGCGGTTTAGCATCTTCAGCTAGGAGAAAAAAAGCTGCATCAGGGTGCACAAGGAGGTTTATTGGAGAAGGCTGCAGGGTAGGGTGGTGGGAGAGGAGAGGCTGAGCCTGGCCAGCGCTGTCCAGAGCTGGGAGCAGGCAGAAGGGGTCTTTGACTGCTTCTCTTCTCCGGTTGCTGGGCTGCACACGCAGGGGGATCTTTCACCTTGCCAAGCTACAGGCCAGATGCCAGTCACTGCTTCTTTTACAGGTCGTCCGTGCTCCTCGGCGCCCCGGCCATCAGGTTGCAGGCAGCTTTGTGCTTCTGCCAGTGCTGGACCTGGCACGCCCTGCAGAGGGGAAGGCCGCCTCTCAGGGGCTCTGCTGCAAAGCAGGGCACCCGCAGCTTGAGCAGGGATGTAGCAGGGCCACATCCATCCCCGGGAGTGAAGCAGCAACAAGGACAAGCCCCAGCACCACGCACCTCTGGGCACTGGCGGGGAGCCGGCACAGCCCAGCCATAGCCCAACAGGGAGGTGAATGTGGCCCCCAGTTCTGGGGACTAAGACGGTTTAACGCCAGACCTTGCCAGATGGTTCAGGACCAGAGAAGATTTAATTTACTGCCATCATCCCAGCTGCCACATCCCAGCCTGTCACCTGCACCCCCAGAGCCACGGGTGCTTTCCTCCCCACTCCTGCCCCACCAAGGTGCAGGGGAGGGAGACAGTCTCACCATGGGAAACCCAGCCCGTCGCTGCTGGTGGTGCGGGCCCAGGCACCTCAGCACCTCACAGTGGCAACACAATGCTCACCAGCACCTCCTCCACCAGTGTCCCAGCCATCAGTCTCGCTGTAAGATTTGGAGAGGTATTTGCGGAGAGCCAGCAGTGCTGAGCAGCAGTGGGACCCCTGGCTTCCCTTGGCCCTTTCACAGCATCCTCCGGTGAGGTCTATTGTGCTCTGGGGAGCCGGGAGCACTGGGGGACTGCGGGGGGGCACTGGGGGGCTGCAGGGGACACAGGTGTGGGTAGTAGGGTTCCCTTACCGCGTGCAGTACCACTCGTTCCGGCAGCGAGAGCACCGCTTGGCCGCCTCTGTGCCACACACCCTGCAGCGGGGCTTGTCGGGGGCCAGAGCCTCTATCATATCCAGGCTGTAGGTCTGTGCCCACCTGCAGCAGGCAGAGAGGGGGTGAGGCTGCTCGTCAGGAACTGCTGACAAGCAGCAAGCTGTCCCCGCTGCACCCCGCCACTGAGGGGACATCCCCAGCCAGTACCACAGAGCCCTCCGTCCTCCCAGTGCTGAGTTCCAGCCCCTGCTAATGGGGATACTGGCTCCATTGGGCACCCTGTGTGCATGTGCCAGGGCCTTACCTGCGTGCCTGGAGCTTCAGCTCCTCCTCAGTAGGGCTGAAGACACGCTTCACCTGGTGCTTGGCGATGGCCTCCCACTTCCCTGTGTTTTTCTTGAGGATGTGGTCCCAGATGACAGGAACCTGGCGGGAGAGGCACAGCAGGAGGAAGGGGTGTTTGCAGCTTGACCGAAGGTGCTGTGGTATGGGGGTATTCGGGGGACGGGGAGGCAGCTGGACCCGGGCATGAGGAGCGTGCCCCCCGGGGAGGGTGAGTGGAGGTAGCATGTGCAGAGGTGAAGGCACAGGGAGCGAGGGTGTGCTTTTGGGTACACGGAGGGGACGGATCTGCTCACCAATGAGAGTTCATGTGAAATGAGGCAAAACCTTCGGGGTCCAGTTGGGAGCCGGCGTTCAGCCCCAAGGCTTGGGCTCCCGCACAGAAAGCCCTGGGATCTCAGCGCCCTGCATGCCGGCAGCAGCGCGAACCCCGTGCTTTGGAGCCGTTTGCCTGAGCAGATTTTTCCACTCGTCACTTCCCCGAAGACGAACACCCGGGGAAGGGCTAGCCCGCGTGAAAGGGAAAGCACCAGCCAAGAGCAGCGCGGGTTCAGGCTCTGGAGAGAACGATGCTGCTTCAAACAGCGCTGCCTTCTCCAGCAGAGTAAAAATAGCCAGGCCTGGAAGGGGAGGAGGCTGCTTGGGGAGCAGCCGAATGGAAAAAGGCCTTTTCAAAGCTTGGCTCAGCGACAGGGAGTGAGTTCACTGCTTTCTGGGCAGAGCGGGGAGCCCACGTGTGTGCTTCCAGCTGGCTCCCCCTGCCCACCTGCCAGGCTCAGCCCCAGCCCTTGGTGGAGGCAGGAGCAGCACCGGCACAAAAGCAGAGCTATGGTGAAGGGCAGCAGCCTGGGTGAGGTCCCCAGTGCGGCAGCTGCCTGTCCCACCGACACGCTGGCAGTCAAGGCACGTGGACTGAATCTCTAACCACCTCCGCCCTGCTGCCATCCCCAGTCCCAGCCGCTTGGCTTGCCGTCTGCAGCCTTCCCCAGCCCCGGTTCCCCCCGTGCCATGCCTCTGGCTCAGCTGCAGCCAGCTCCGGCCAGGGCACATCACCCTCCTCCCAGGCCATGCAGCCAGCCGCACTGGGGGCAGTGTGCTCCCACTCCACACAGCCCAAGTAGCTGCTGCCCGACCTACCCATCTGCTTCGGGAAGCGGCATGGGAGCCTCCAGCAGTGGGGAAGAGCCTCTGCTCTCCCAGCCATTCTCGGCTGCCTCTTTGCAGATCTGCCCCCACACACAATTTCTCCCCTCAGGTCACGAGAAGGCAGTAGAAACACTTTTCTCCAGAGATTACCACTGCACTGATTAAAAACCCCAAGAACCTCACACTGTTTGAAGACCCTCAGGGCCCAACTCCCAAGCCCCAGACATCAGCTGGGACCAGTGTGACTCCAGCCTCTACCACCAGACCTTGGCATCCCTCCGTTCACAGTGTGCCAAGCAGCCCTGGGTCAGCGCTGTAAAAGGGGACTCCTCCCTGGGGAGTCCAGAATTCAGCAGGAAAACACTGATAAATGTTAAATAAAGAGTTAATTGTTAAAACAAGCCAGGGGTTGTCTCTGTCCCATGCAGCCACCACCCCAGGGTCTCAATGCCATATGGAGAGCTGTTTATAACCCAGCATTTATGCCTTTAGATGCGACTGCTTGGCCACTGCGGTAGCAGGACAAGGCTCCCATGTCATCCACGGACAGCTTTGCTGGCAATAAGGGTGTAACTGTGAAACAGGTGCTTGGCTGCTTTACCAGGGCACCACCTCTCCAGAGCTGAGCTTGGTGGGAGGAAAAGGAGGTAGGGAGCTATCAGGCTTAAAGCAGAGCAGCTGGAGAGGTGGAGGAAGAGCCACAGGATACCTGCTCCAGGACAAGATCCTTTTTGGGGGGAGCTGGCTCTGTCACTGCGAGGTGGCTCAGAAATCTCTGCATCTCCACCAGGTTGGGCAGCTGATCAACGAGGACATCTGTCAGGAATGCACGGAGCTGCGGCCACGGAGGTGAAGAGAAGAGCGAATGGAGAGAGGTCAAGACAAGAGAGCCAGAGCTGGGGAAGAAGCATAGCAAGAGCAGGGATCTGTGGGGCACTGGCAGAGTGACCCATGGGGGTCCCACGAGGTGCACTCGTAAACACAAGCTTGGTTGCTGATGGCATGGTGACAGACCCTGCTGCTCTCCCACCACTGGCTCCTAGGAGCCCACAGTGAGGATGGGGAGAGATGCCCAGAGGTGCCTAGTGCTGGCAAGGTCCTACTCTGTGCTGCAGGGGCCATGGCCTTCGTGATGTAGGGTCGTACCTTGAGGAGCTGGCTCTTGTTGAAGCCATCGAAGTGGTATTTGCGCTGGCATTCAGGGCTGAGCAGGAGGTTGAGGAGGGCAAGCCACACCTGCCCATCGAGTTTGGTCATCTTCACCTGGTCTTCAGGGGGCACCACGTGCCACACACCATTCTCAAACTTCTTGAGCTTGCCTGAGGGACAAAAGAACACACGGCTCCAGGAAGAGACAGTGCTGCCTGAGGGAAGATAGCTCAGAGGTCAGGATGCTGGCCTATGCTCACTGCCTCATTTCACCACAGGCAAGCCCCTCTGCTTCAGTCTGCCTCAGTATCCCCACCCCTTTGCTCAGCATAGCAGCCTACTTGGTACTGACACAAGATGTTAGAGAGCATGAAAAGCATAAAGAACATGTATTAAAACAATACGGCTGTGGCAGGAACTGAAAGATCCCCGAGATATCTCCCTCTCTACTTGGCCAGGAGAGCACTGGTAGATGGTGGGGGAGCCCATGCTGCAACAACAGAGTGGCTGGAGAGGCATGTTTTCGGGTACTAGCGTGGCCAATACCCACTCTTCTAGAGTTTCTTCTGCCAGTGAAAGGCAGAAGTAGCATGAATGTAACAGAAGTGACAAAACAAGTTCCAGGAGCTACTGTGCTGCTCTGGGGGATGGAGGAGGATGTAACCCTGCATCTGCACAGCCTGGAAATGCCTTTGCACTCTTGTTTCTTTCCAGTCCCTCCCTCAGGGCCCTGGATCAAAGCTCCCTCTGACACCCCGAGCACACAGGCGGGGAGAAGGGATGTGTTTCCTGGCCGGAGGAGGAGGAAAGCTCCCACAGCCAGCTGGGCTCCTCTCGGCAGGCGCAGAGCCACATGCTTCCCAGCATCTCTTCCTCCCCTGCCCGTGCTGTGACCCCCCTGGTGCAGGGCTGGGGAGGGGAGTGCGGGTTCCCATGCCCCAGGCTGTGCCCCATCATTGCTCAAAGGCAGGCAGCGGAGAAACTGGGGAGCTGCAGGGGGGCACGCCTGGCTGCAGAGGTGCAGGAGGCAGGGCTGATGGCCGATGGGCACAACCTGATCAGAGCGCTTTGGCAAGAGAGAAGCTCAATGAACAGCAGCTTCAGGGCAATCGGTTTGCTGCCTGGGAGACCCCATGTCTGGTTCCAATTATTAGCGCTGTCCCAGAAAGGCGCAGACAGGCTGAGTGACACTCTGGTCTTTCTGTGTCCAGGACAAGACTCCTCGAGGAGCAGGTGGGCCTGGCAGATGTGCTACACTCCTGTCCTGTCCGTGATCAGCTCAGCCCTGTGTAAGGATCGGCTTTTGGGAGCACTGCTGGGTCCCCAGCCCAGCTGTGCTGCAGCTGCTTTCGAGCTGAACAGCTTTGGGCAGGGAGCACTAGTGAGGAGCAAGGGCAGGAGGCTGGAGGGGAGGGTAGAGGGGGAGCAGCTTTCTGCAGGGGCTCCTACAGCAGACATCTCAGTGGATGCAGGTCCCAGCATGCCGCCACGGCGCCACAGGTACCACGGGGCACGATCCGTACCTGCTTCCCGGCAGCTCCAGGGGCAATGTTCCACCAGCTCGACAAGGAGGCAGGGCAGGTTGTGGGTGTTCAGCATCCGTGTCAGCGCGCTCAGGGGCAGACTGGAGATGTGACAGAAAGGGTGAAATGGTGCTCACAGACAAATGCCAGAACAGATACAAATGCTCCCTCAGGCAACTGGGAGAGGCAGGGGAAAAAAACAATGATCTGGGTTCCCATGAGTACCAGGGAGCAGGGTGGAGTGCTGCTGCCTTTGCCTCCAGGGGCACAGTGCCACTGCCACCATGGATACAGCCAGCTGCTGAAAGGGGTCCAGGCACCCGCTGCAATGCCACAGGAATCTCAACCGGAGAGCTCGGCGCATGTCCTCTACTGCTCCTGGGCACCTACCTCTCCACCTGATCGGTGATGAACCGAAGCACGGACAGGGCTTTCAGGGAAATCTCAAACTCCATTGTCTCCGCCTGCTTCTGCAGCTCCTGTGGAGGGACAAGCACAGCCTCGGGATTCCAGGCCCCATTTCCCAGGAGCTACAGGGAGGCAAGGCTGTTGGCTGTGCATCGGTAACCACAGACTGAGGAAGAAACCAGAGCCCTGCAAAACAAACTCTGCTTCTCATCTCGACTGTGCCAGTGCTGCTTGTTTGCCAGGGCAGCCACAGAAATGCTTGCAGCCCACTGTTGCTCGTCCTTCATCTCCCTACCCCTAAAAGGTCACGGGTGGCTACTGGCACAGGGACACTCCCTGAAAGAGGCAAGTCCCAGACCGCTCCTCTCTCCCCTTCTGGGATCATCTTGTGGCCCATGGCCCTGCAGAGACCTGTGAGGTTGAGGGAGGGGGGAGCTGCATGATCAGCACAGGAACCAGAGGAGGAGGAGGAGGAGGAGAGAGAAACGTGGCCCTGCAGCAGTTGCAGTCCTACATCCGCCCCTCCTGGATCTGCCTCTCCCCTCTAGCTTGCGTACAGCCAGCTAGAATATCTGCCTGTGGTTATCCCAGCCCACAGCTATGCCATGCTTTCCAGCCACCCGGCCTCCTTCCCTTCCCAGGCAGCGTGGACACCCCGTTCATCCCCCACGTGCTCAGGCTAATGGTCTGACCACCCTCTGACTCAGCCTCTTTCACGAACATCAGGATGGCTAGCCTGAGAGGTGCCAAGTCCTTCTCCCTGGCCCAGGCAGAGCTTCTCCTCTCCAGTCCCAGATTCTCAGCAGCTCACATCTTCATGTGCAGAGCACTGACCTCAGCAACTCAAATTTCTCTAAAGCGCCACTGCAACAGTTCCCTTCCAAATTCCTGTGGTAAGAAGCCTTGCGCTCCCCCGTGCCGGTGCCCCACACGCTACTAAGAAAGCCTTATGGGCTCTTCCCCGCAACCTCCCTCTCCAAACTCCCCCAGTGAGGCTGTTTCCTACAGCTCCTCCTGGTATCCAGACCTCATCTCTGCTGTCTTCAGGCAGGGACTATCTTTTGCCTGTGCTTCTGGGGGACAGCAGAACAGGTCCTGTTCCAGGGGTTACCACCATACACAGTCACAAAGGACAACAGGCTCCACAACATAGGAGACAGTAGGAACAGCTTTTTCATAGGGGGTTATTGTATGTAGAGTCAGGAGGAGCTGGAATGAATCAGAGGAAACCAGGCTTCTTAGGAGATGATTGCTTTTTAGAACCCTATTGGCTAGAAAAGGTCGTTTTTTTAACTTAAGCCATGTCAAAGCACTAACAGAGACAACCCCTTCCCCTCCCCAGCTGGGAAAACATTTCCTGGAAAACATCCCTATTGTGCTCTGGACCCCTCCACTTCCTTCCCTCTTCTGGAAGAGGAGCACGTGCTCAGGCAATGAGCCAAAGGATGGAGGCAACAGGGGAGGTACAGCCAAGCTTGCAGGCTATCACTTTAACCCTGCTTCTCCAGACACTCCTCGCGATGTCCGCAGTTTAAGGAGAAAACTCAAGGTGCTGAGAAGCACCAGAAGCAAAGAGAGCTCCTGCACTGGGTAGGTGTGTAGGGCAGCCTGGGAACACCTGACAGGGAACAGCTCTGGGCTCGCTGCTGGCCCAGACCAGCACAGAGAGGAGGTATTTCTCAGAGAGCCGAGGAAGCTGGGGGGAAACATATTAGGAAAATTCCTAGTCGTATCGTACATCGATTTGGGAAGGATCCCTCTCATGGTTAATCCTGGCTGGCTCCAGCAGCAGTCTGAGCTAAGGTGGTTTCACAAGCTCCAGGGAGACCTACCCACACAGCTTTCAAGAGCAACTGCAAATGGCCAAAACTCCTGTACCGAATATTTTGCCTATCAACCCTCCAGTGTGCCCCATCAGAGCTCTGACCACGTCCTGCAGGAAGCCTCAAGCTGGCACTGTCATAAGCGAGGGCGGAAGGCGGCTGCGGGGTGGAGGGAGGTGGGTGCAGCTGCTGGCGTGGACAAACACCAGCACCAGATGCCCTCTGAGATGGGTGGGAGGTGCTGGGGTTGCAGCCAAGGGGTTCTCCAAAGGAAGGTCCCCCTGTGCCTCTTCAGGCTGTCCACATCCTCCATCATACATGTCCCCAGTGAGCTATGGGACTTTTTCCTCACCTGCATGGACGAGGCGCTGGCCAGATCCTCGGCATGAAGCTCCACCGGGGTCACTGTTTGTCTGTTGGTGCTCCGAGCTGCGAGCAGGGTCAGTTTTCGGTGGCAATAATCAATTAAATCCAGAATGCTGTCCTCTGCTGACTCGCAGATCTCCTTCAGAACGACAAGAGTTTCATAGAGGGCCCAGCCCCCACAGCCATGGCTTTTCACCCCCAGGGGCTTTACACTGAAGAAAGCTGAACCTGCCTCCTACCTTGTAAAAAAACACTGTCTCCAAGAGGTTAATGATGGAGGCTTCGTGATGCAGCTGTAGGAGGAAAATGGCAAGAGTGAGGCAACAGTGGAGCAATCACCAGCACCGAGGACACAGGCAATGGGACCAGGAAAAGGGCTCTTCTAAGAAGCTGCTTGTGTAGTTATATTTGGCTCTTGGGCTTGCATTTGGCCACAAGTGATGTAATTTTCAAAAAAGCTCCAGTTTATGCAGTTCTTGTTAATATTTATGTTAATATGCCTATGACACTATAATATGCTAACAGAGAACCACACTTCCCGGCAGGCAGGGCTCTTCAGGGCTCTGTCCCTGTGCTACAGTGGCAGTACAACTGTAGCCCTCGGGCAAGCTGCCGCCCCTGGCACTGAGATGGGAAAGTGCTCTGCATGGCTGCACTGCTCTCACCCCTCTGGGTCCCAGGCAGACAGCCTTGTCCTGAGACTGGGAACCACAAGATAACTGCCTCTAGGCAATGCTGCAGACAAATGGCTGCCCAGGGAAGACAACACCTTACCCTGGACTGAAAATGGGCTAAAACTTCCAAGCCTTGGGCAAATTTCCCTTAGGTCAAGGGCTGCATCTCCACAGGGAAGTCCAGCTCCCGAGATCACTCCCTTGCTAAGAACGGCCCAAGGGACTGCTGCTCCCAGGAGCTCAGTAAGAAAAAGCTACGCTTTTCTTAACCCAGAGGCACATAACCTCAGAAACCCCTCTGGTTAGAGGTGCCAGAGAAAAGCAGTGCTCAGAGGGGGGCAAACACCCCAGGGGTGTTGCTGCCTGGGTGCGAGGGTAGCATGAGTCAATGGGAGCTGCAAGCCATGAGCACAGCTGCCTCCAGGAGTGGCTTTTGTTGCATCCAGCAGCTCCCACAAGCCCCTGTACAGGATTAGGCAGGGGCACAGCCCTCCACGGAGCTGAGCTCCCCTGGGAGCAAGGATATGGGCTTGTCGCTTGTGGCTTTGGGAAACCAGGTGCTTCCCACTGTCTCACATTGTCCACCACAGCTTCTCAGTGTGGTGAGATGTAAAACCCCAGCTCTGAGATCTTCAGGGTGAGATTTATTTTTAAGCATAGTGGTGCCTGCCCAATTTCCAGGCTTGGTCCCACTGCCCCCTCTACTCACCACCACATAGATGGGGAAGGTGCTTCTCGGCTTAAAGTCCTCCAGCCGGCACAGCACAGGAAAGATCTTGTGCTTCCAGATCTCCACAGAGATCAGCTCCCCAATGAGAACAGGAATCTAGACAGGGAAGGGATGGGGAAAGCGAAGCACTTCAGACCAGTGCTTCAGGGGAAACCAGTTTTATTGCTAATGCTCAGCCACACAGACTTATTTGGAGTCATCCCACAGAGGAGGGTGGCCTTGGGGCACCCTGTCTCTATTCACCCAGCTCAGAAATCAAAAGCTTTTCACCAACAGACGAGCAGGCAGAGAGAGCTCCTGGGGTTGCAAAGGGGGAAGATGACCCTGAGGAGCTGGGCAGGTCCAGGGCACCACACGTAGCAGTGCAGCCCAACACATTCCAGGGCTGGGACACCCCCGTTATAGGGCAGAGATCCACAAGTGGCAGCGCTGGTGCACAAGAGAGACCAAAACAACCTCCAAGAGAGGAACCAGAGACCAGCAAGTAGCAATACCACAACTTGACCTTTAATTTTTTTAAAAAGTAAAACTGGCAAACCACCAGTCAAACGTCTTTGCTGGAGATACAACAGATTCTTCACAATTTTATTCCAAAATTGCACATTGTCCACAAGGTGACCCCAGCTCGAGGCTGAAGGCCTGGCATGGGGATCACTACCACACCCAAGGAGGCTCACCTTGGCGTAGGTGACCAGCAGCTCGGTGAGGAGCTGCTCCTGGCCCGCAGAGGCACTCAGGATGGCATGCATGTTGAGCTTCTCCACACACTCATGCTGCCGAAGCCATCTGTGGGGCAGCCAGGAAGGACATCAGTGGCAGAGACCTCTGGCCAGGGGCTCTGGGGCTCCGCTGCGCTTCTGGAGAAGGTCCCTCACGCAGGTAAACCTGCTCCCAGCACCCTCATCCCCAGGAAATGCCCCAAGCCTGCCAGGAACCCCCAAACCCCACACTGTCCCCTGAGCCAGCGCTCCCTGGGGCAGCAGCTTCACCTGCAGCAGCCCCAACCCCACTGCCCTCCTGCCTGCCCCCAGCAACACCCACCATGAGACACTGTCACTGGGGGATACACCAAAACTGGGGGTCCTCCTCTCCATCACCCCTACCCACACAGACCCTCTGGGGACACCCCAGATCTGGGGCCCTCCTCTCTCTCTCCCCCAGTCCTTCCAGGAAGGCTCCGGAACTGGGGACCCTCCTCTCTCCCCACCCCACCCTGACTCTCTGGGGTCACTGGGACCCCTCCTCTCTACCCTAGACCTTCTGGGAACCCTTCCTTATCCCCATCCAGACCCTCTGGGGAGGGCCCAAACCCGGGGCCCCTCCTCTCCCCCCACAACCCCAACAGGGACACCCCAAATTTAGAGCCCCTTCTTCATGC